CTTTTGACCACCCACCAGCTAACTGTGTTTGGAAACTCAGTCTGCAGTGCCACTCTACAGGGCTGACTTTATTCCCTGAGAAGCCAGGAGATTTGTCCTTTCCCTCCTGGGCTGTTGGGATAGACTTGAAAGGACTGGTGGCACCTACCAAGACTAGGGTGAGATTTAGTTTCTCTCTGGTATTTTGTAACTTTGCTTTGCTGCAACCCCTTTGTAACCAAAAGTCCTTACCCGGGGTTGGGGCAGGGACTTTTGACAACATGTATCTCAGAAGTTTTATGTCTGTCTAGTTATGGCCATTTGCATGAAAATTGTTACTCATAGCATGGCAGTCCCCTAGTGCAGGGCAAAAAGCACAGAGGAAGAGGATGTGCATGTCGAAAGGATGTGCAAATGCTGCTGCTGTTGCTTTTGATAATCATGTCCCTGCCACCTTTCCCGTATGCCGTTCCCTTTTCCTTCCACATCTGTGCAGTGAGGCAGCTGTAAGGTGGAATCAGACAATGTGCAATCCTCTCTTCTCCCCCCCCCCGCCCGTCACTTCTCTCCTTGTTTCATAATAGGATTTTCAGAGTTTCCACTCTTCCCTCTTCCTTCTTTTTAAGCAGGTCTCACCATCTCTTTTGTCCAAACCAAGATAAAAGTTTTTTTTCTCTTCTATACTGAAGGAGCAACAGCCTTCACTCTAGTGGCCACAAGAGACGCAGAGTCAAACTGCAAATGCTGATGGGCAAGAGTACATCCTGTGGTGCTCTGCAGTGACCCCATGGGGGGCTGTTTATGCACCTGAAAAGGTGCAGGTGCAAGGAGGGGAAACAAAAGCTCCTGGGCCCACTGCACTGCACCCCTGATCCGGATCAAGGCTTGGCAGCAATTTTTAAAGAACTGCTAAGGCTTCTGAAATAACGTCACCTGATATGAGGCATGGAGTTTGATTATATTGTTTATCGTGCCATCAATTGTTTTATTGCTTTTACTGTTTTATTGTTTTACTACATGTTGTAAGCCGCCCTGAGCCCATGTGTGGGATAGAGCAGGGTATAAATTGAATGAATGAATGAATGAATGAATGAATGAATGAATGAATGAATGAATGAATGAATGAATGAATGAATGAATGAATGAATGAATGAATGAATGAATGAATGAATGAATGAATGAATGAATGAATGAATGAATGAATGAATGAATGAATGAATGAATGAATGAATGAATGAATGAATGAATGAATGAATGAATGAATGAATGAATGAATGAATGAATGAATGAATGAATGAATGAATGAATGAATGAATGAATGAATGAATGAATGAATGAATGAATGAATGAATGAATGAATGAATGAATGAATGAATGAATGAATGAATGAATGAATGAATGAATGAATGAATGAATGAATGAATGAATGAATGAATGAATGAATGAATGAATGAATGAATGAATGAATGAATGAATGAATGAATGAATGAATGAATGAATGAATGAATGAATGAATGAATGAATGAATGAATGAATGAATGAATGAATGAATGAATGAATGAATGAATGAATGAATGAATGTATAAGGGAAGCCATGTTGGATCAGGCCAATGGCCCATCTAGTCCAAAACTCTGTCACACAGTGGCCAAAACCCAGGAGCCATCAGGAGGTGCAGCAGTGGGGCCAGAACTCCAGAAGTCCTCCCACTGTTGCCCCCCAAGCACCAAGAATACAGAGCATCACTGCCCCAGACAGTGTTCCATCTATACCTTGTGGCTAATAGCTCCATATGTTTCTCCAATCCCCTCTTGAAGCTGTCTATGCTTGGAGCTGCCACCACTTCTTGCAGCAATGAATTCCACATGTTAATTACTCTTTGGGTGAAGAAGTACTTCCTTGAGCTTGTAGTTTGGCGCACAGTTACCTTTCCTCTTGGGAAACATTGTGGCTGGTTAGGCCCTCAATAGCAGTAATCAATGTTTCAATCTTCAATCAGCTTTCTAAAAGAACTATAGCCTGTAGATAACTTGGAAAAAATAAACAAGCTGTAAACAAAGCTTCACACACATTTGTGTGAAAGAAAACCACACTTTTTGAACATGTTTCTGCAGTGGTGGATAGCTCTGCCCACTTTGGGCCTTATTATGCTGAATCAGCATGCACAATGGTTGCCTTTGTATGTTTCAGCAGTGGGATGGGTGCTCTTAGCCAAAACACTTCTGTGTTGGTTCAAGACCATGTGATGGAGACAACTGTGTGGGCCCTTCTGACCCAATTATCACCTCTTGTCCTAGATATTAACAATTACACGTGGGGCCGGGTCTTTCAATGGTACAACAGCAGTATGGCTGAGTGTTCGCTGTACTTACCGTAACATCTGAAGAGCATCAATATTAGCCACCTTTTCATTCCACTTCCTGTAGGGGTGGTTTGGTACTTTAGCTTCTTTCTTGTGTTACCCTCAGCTGTGGAGGGGCTATCCTCTTACAGAGTGGTGATCTCTTAGCTGTGGTTGCTGGATCATCATGAAAGGTCCCATAGGATCCAATAGCAGAAGTTGTTAATGCTGTACAAGAATCTTGGGAGGCTTTGGATGGTACAATGTACAGCATGAGTTTAGTATTTGTTTCCATTTATGTATTTACATTTTTTAGTTACCACGTGATAGTGTTGTTGGGTCAGAATCACTTTAGTATTGCTAATAAGAGAAACACTGTCTAGATTAGAAACACAACAAATACACTGTAGGAAAATTTCCCACACAACCAGGTTCACTTGCATACAGAACATTTTATAGCTTTGAATTTACGATTTACAAGGACTTGTGGTGACATCTAATTCCCCCTTCCCCACTGTTGCCTCTTTCCTTTCACTGAAAGCCCCTATAGCCTCTCCCCATATCACGCTTCCTTCTCTCCCACCCACCAGCTAATCTACCTTTGTCTGCCCCCTCATCTTCAGCTTTTACTCCTTCCTCCCTCCAGGAGCCTTCACCTGGGAAAAATATGACTCAGTTGCGCAATGCTGACTGCACAGTGGGAAACCCCAAAGACTTGCATGGGGTACCTCACTTACCTCTTTATTCCTCACCCTGCAGTGTTTCCCTCCTTCTGACACCCTCATATTCTCACCTTTCCTTGCTTCCTTCTCTCCTTCCCACCCATGAATCAGCCTACCCTTTATTTGTATCTCATCTTCAGCCATTCTATTATTTCATTTATAACCCTGTCTTTCTCCACAATGTAGATCCAAAGCATCTTACGTAATTCTCTTCTCCTCCGTTATATCCTCATAACAACCCTCTGAGATAGGCTGACAGTATGTGACTGGCCCAAGGTCACTCAGCCAGCTTCCATGGCAGAATGGGGATTCAGACCTGCATTTCTGACGCTCTAACCACCCAACCACACTGGCTTTCATGGGGTGGCTGCTGTTGAACAGAAATAAGCAGTCAGGCCTGGGTGAGGCATACAAGTCACATGGTAGCAAGTAGCCTGATGGTTGCTGGCAGGCCTGGCCCCAATGAGTCCTCCCTCAAACACAAAAACAGCCCTGAAAAGTGTTTTCATCTTGCCTTTTACTGACAGAAAACAAGGCTGAAGGCTGACAATACTGTTGTGGTTTCCTAGCAATTGCCACAGCAGCCAATAAGAAGGCATTTGTTTCTTAAAGCTACAGGTGCTGCTTCTATTATTGGGAGAGGTTATGAAGAACATATTTGTCACTGATGTGCTTGAAAAACAGATTGAGATGGAAGCCTCATCTTGATGGGACTGTTCAAACTACAGTAAGAAACTCACTGCATGTAGGGCAGGAAATAAAAACAGTAATTGGCTTGGAGCTACTGGAAAATTTCCATGGACCAAAGGGGTAGAGGATTTTCATGGAACCCTTCTCCCACTGCAGAGCTCTCATCTCATCTCCTCTTGTACCGCTCCTGTCCCCTGGACAAGGGGGGGGGGGGGGGGGGAGAGAAAGAAGTAAGGAAGTTGCAATTTGCTGATGGAAATCCATTCCATCTGCAGAAAGCCTCTGGTCTAGTGTATACAAGGTGTTACATTAATATCAAAATTAACCCTGGTTCAGAGAACCTCAAAAGTGCTCTTGGGCCTCTAGTCTAGTGTATGCAAGGTGTTATATTAATTCTTAAAATTAACCCTGGTTCAGAGAACCTCAAAACTGCCTAAAGTGCTTCTTCTTGTGCACGAGGGCTTTGCTAGCTTTCCTCTTGTCCACTTACAGTCCTTCACACTGCAGTGGATGCTTCTCTAGTGGGTGCCTCACAAAGTTGTTTTTTTTCTGGTCATACATATTGGGGAACCAGAAATGCCTTGGTACATGTGCAGCCATACTGTAAACTAAGAATTGATCAGTCTAATCACCCAATATCCCACTTCTGTGTACACTGAAGCTTTGAATACTCCAGTTTAGTGGCATGTACTGGGGGGGGGAGTAGTCCAGTAGAGGTAGTACACCAACACATAGGTCCTGTGATGCTAGTTGTTCTGAGACTTGCTTGGGTAGGGGTCCCCAACCTTTTTCAGCCTGTGGGCAAATTTGGAATTCTGACACAGCACAGTGGGTGCAGCAGCAAAATCGCTGCTACAAAATAGCTGCTGCAGGAGGTGGAGCCAGCCACAAAATGATTGCTTAACTTCAGTAACACAGTGTAGATCCTTGTAGTGTGCTGGCAGCTGCTGCCAAAGTAACATTTTTTTTAAAATCTGCATGGCCAATCAGAAGCCCTCCTGGGCTAAAGCCCTACTTGGCCCCACCCACTTCCTAAAGACACTTGGCAGGCTCCAGGAAAGGTGCTGGCGGGTGCCATGGTGCCCACAGGCCCACACTGAGGGCCTCTGATCTTGGGTGCAGTTAGCAACGGGAACCTTTTGAGTCTGCACCGGCACCCATGAGGTATATTGGAAGGAATTACCAAGCAGGTTTTCTTTTTTACCTCCCATTCTGTGTTTTATCTTGAATTTAATTTAACTTAATGTTGCTGTTTTTAAATTTTTCATAGAACACACATCTCAGCTTTTTCCCAAGACAACATTTATGAAGTCCAGCCTCCTAAAGTTGACAGGAAATCTATTGAAATCTTTCATGCTCACATCCAGGCTGGCAAGGGCATCATGCAGCCCCTGGGAAAAGAAGACTTCCTCATGTACCGAGAATACATCAGAAACAGATATATGTGAAAAATGTCTATATTCAACTTTGTCCCATTAATTGTCTTGAAAGAGGTCACCACATGTGCCTGCTAACCATAGTTTTTTGTCGTATTTGATTGCATTATCTAAATAGCTGCGGTACTAAATAGAAAGTCTCTTCTGTTGAGACTTGTGGAAGAGAAAGAAAAAGACTACACTTGGAAGAAAAAGAGCAGATATCAACAGGCTTTGTTAACTGTTCATATAAATTGTGCTGTTTAATTATGTATATTGCTTTTCTGAAGGCACTGAAGTATGGAGAAATGCTGCTAGTGTAATATAGCCAGTGGGGGCTTCTGGGAATGCTGAGTAAGTGTAGAAATGCATTTTTGTCCTCCTTGAACTTATAAAAATATTTATTGTGAACCCACAAATAATGGTTAGTTCAGTCAATGTGTCTGAAAGAAAATGTAAGGTATTAGATGCATCCACTAAAGATGATTGTTGGACATGATCGAAAGTATTGTGATTTTTTTTAATAGCAGAAAATTAGTCTTTCTGAGAATTTGAAACTGTATTCGGGTTTTGTTCCTTGCTCCTCCTCTGGGCAGAATCATAGTGGCCTCTGCAGAAACCTTATTGAGTTTTTAAAAATAATTTCTAGAACTTCCTTATTAGAATTGAATGTCATTAAAATTTTATTTGATAAAATAGAGGTGTAGTTTGCTGTCAGATAATAAAGAGAACATGCCACAGATGTGGAGAGCTGCATTTATATACTTAAGGTTGTAATTCTGGAATGATAACTCTTTCATACCAAGAACTGCAAGTTGCAGACCCATTAATACTGGATACCTGTTTGAAGAAGAATCCAGCTTTATTCCATAACTACCCTGTTCATTGGCACATAATGGATGTGTTGCCTCTGACAAACATGTCTTGTTTTGATATTCACGTGTTATAGCTCTTAGTCAAATTGGTCTAATCTCCATCTGTGAAGGGTCTGCATTTTGAGGAAATTTTCTTCTACTAAATACAGGCTTTTATTGCTGTGAGAATCAGCTTGTCATAAAAAGGCAATCATAAAAGAAATCTTGGTACATAGGAGAGCCAGGGGCAAAAAAGTGAGGTAGGAGAGTTGGAGAACCAATCCCATTGCTCCTATCTTCACTACGGCAAGTAGCTTCTTGCCTAGCATCGAATGAAATCCAAGCCAGTAGTCACATGCTCAGTGACAAGTAATCAGCCAGTCAAGTCTGTAGCCTTGTGTTCAGTGGCAGGCAGCTTTCTAAGCTAGGCTACCAGCAGTTGGCCAGCAGCAAACATCTGGCACAGCAAGATCTGGCCACTTGCAGTAGTTTCTTTACACACATTCTAGGTGCCACTGCATTTATGACTCCAGACCTCCATAAAATCTATTTTGCTTATTCCAAAGATTGCAAATGTTACCCCCATTCCATTTTGAATATGTAATTTTGCTTATTCCAAAGATTGCAAATGTTACCCCCATTCCATTTTTGAATATGTAAAAAGCTACTGTTACTCAGCAAACATTTTATCTTTGTAAAATGCAAGAAAGAATAGAGTACTTATAAGGAGCACAGATGTTCCAGTGCATTCCTATCTAAGGTCACAATTTCTCTGTACTGCCACATCTGATTTCAGTAGACTTAAGACTCAAATTCCATTTGTATGGGAGTGATTATCTATTAATGGATGGAAAAAGAAACACTTGGCTGTACTGTAATACGCTAATGTCCCTGTATTTGATGTAAATGCCATCTGAAACTTTAAAATGTGAATTATGTCATGCTATATGTAGTTTATTTCTAGCAGCCAGCCTTAATGCCTTTCTTCTTTACATGAAATATGTGTAAATTTAGCTAACTTAATAGCTTTGCCCATCCAAGAGAAAATAAATTAGTAGAAAATTCTTGTTAAAAGAGAACTGGTTTTTTTTGTTTGATTTTTTAAATAAATACGTTTGGGCACACATGGTGTTTTTCAAATTTAATTCTGTGTTGAGAAGTTCCCTGTGGTATGATAGTATGCCATCTTTTCATCGAATGTTTTATTAAGGCTATGATAGTGTAAGCGCATTGGATATCAATCGTTTACATTAGGGATGCTGTGAATTTTGCCATGGACACAATTTGGCTGTTGAGCTTACTGCGTTTAAAGGTGGTGATCACATGAGAGCAAATCAGTCTGTTGTGTTCACACTGACCAGCTGCTTTGCATTGGGTTTCCCCATAACTAGACATGTGCAGAGATGCTCCTGATTCAAACATCAGTGACCGTTATTGTCGCTAAGGATTACTTAGACAAACACGAAAGGGTAGGTTTTTATTAAAGTACAGTATTTATTGATTGGTTTATATGATTTGTGAGAGACCTAATAGTCTGTTTAAATAACTGCATGCTAAATGGAGCAGTAATGCTGGATGAATGTAGAGCAGTACTCAATCGGACTGTGTGAGAACATGTACGTGCAAAAAGCCAATTACACTGTAGTGCATGGTTAGTTAGGAATATGATGAAACAGCTGTCCAAACACCCACAGACTGATCAGCAAACAATTGAACTGATCATCAAAAAATCAGGTCTCTGTTTACAATTAGTGAACAGGACATAAGCCAAACGATGGATATTTGAGCATTCATAATTTACATGATTGTTGTAGTCTAGAACCCTATATGGGCAACGGCTACCCATTCTTTTCTGCAAGAGGAAATATTTTCCTTTATGTGCACAATCACTTCTTGTTTAAAAAAATTTGATACTTTTAGGCATTCAAGGATGTGGCAGCGGAGTTAGGCCAGATAATCTGCTGTTGTATCACTGAATCATGCTCTCTTGGTTACCTTTTTTCTTTATTCTTCACTGAAGCATTGTACTTTTATGCATGATGTCTTCAGAAAGAGAATCCTGGGCATCAGCCTACCCCTTACTAAAGAAACTTTTCCCTTCCACTTGCTAGGACCCAAAAGACCATGTAACTACTTCCAATTTACCAAGAAAGCTTTGGATTTTTGTCTCAAACAGATTTCGTCTTGCCTCTTGAAACTAGTAGTACAAAAGCACTTGGTGATACAATAGTGGGATCCTGCTTCCCTTAAAATAGCTCTTTGGGTGCAGACTGTCAGTTGTATATGTTAGATTAATTGCAGTTTTATTCACTGCAAACTGAATGCAAGCTAATGCTATGCATATGCTATGCATATGACAAAGCAAAGGGTTAGTGCACAGGAGCAGAGCTCCGGCAGTAACGAGCCCAGGGGGCGGGCACATGCAATAAGCCCCACCCCCTGCTCCCAGCAGCCCTCAGTCAGAGCAAGAAGCAGCCAGGTAAGTTGCAGAGCTATATTCTGATAACAGTGCCTCAACTACATCCTAAAGCCTAGCTGACAATGAGCTTTGGGATTTATCTTCACAAAGTCACCAGGAACATTTGAATAACTGGACGTAGTTATTTTTTAAAAATTCTTTTTAAAAAGGTAGGTTGTTTTCTAAATGCGTAGCTATGCTGGAGCCAAACTAGATGTCTGAGTGACACAGGACTCGGAGCCTCCTTGCAGTCACGTGCAATGACTGGGAATGAGCTCCCAGAGGAGATCAGGACCCTGCGGGACCTTATGCAGTTCCGCAGGGCCTGCAAGACGGAACTCTTCTGCCAGGCTTTTATATAGGGGCCGCCACTACCACTACCACCACCATCAGTGGTGGCGATAACAACAAGGTTACGGGCAATCCCAGGAAGATCTGACACTGACACCGCTGGATAGGCCTTGGACCATCAACAGGACAATATCACCCCCAAGGAAATCACTGATACCATCACGAAATTATTCGGAGGCCATCTTGTTTCAATGGAGCAATTTATTCTTGTCTGTGTTGTAACTTAATGGTTTTATTTTTTTATCCTGTTTTTATGCATGGGCTTGTGCCGTCTTGTAAGCAGCCCTGAGCCCACTCGCAGGGAGGGCGGGGTAAAAATGCTAACAAAAATAAATAAATAAATATAAAGTGGGTTTACTCACCTAAAAAGCACTCTGTTGTACTCCAGGGCACTCTGGGGAGAGGGTCTTCCAGCCTCCCTACCACTCCACTTTCACAAGTGAAAACAGCTTCAGGAGAAGCTACTTTCCCCTTTCTCTGGCTCCATTTATCCTAGGACACATGGAACCAGAGAAGGGGAACACTGGTGAAAATGGCATGGTAAGGAAGCTGGAAGCCTTCTTCCTCTGTTGCAGCGTTCTGAAGCCCAATGGAGGAATGATACACTTTTTAAGTGAGTAAGCCCACTTTATGAGAGTTATGTTTATAGTCAGATTGGGCACCAATATCCCAAACTGGGTCACTAGTGATGTCTAGTTTGGCTCTCAGTCTGTATTAGCACAATAAACCATGAGTCATAGCTCACTGTGTCTGTCACGACTCAGGAGGGGTGTCACCTGATGCTGCCACCACTCTGGATTTAGGTTCCCTTGAGAAGGCCCAGAGTACCCTCCCAAGACCTTCAGACCTCCCTTTAGGCCGGATAACAGGCGTGAGGACCAGGCAGAGTAAAACTGTCAGGTTCAGCAGCAAGTAAATCACACACATTTCCAAGGAAGCATTATGCTTTTTAGATTACAAAACTGGTACCATATCCACAGGATTATTATTAGGAATAACCAAGGGGCGGAAACATCCCTACATATAACAGGATGAGGCAAATGGCTAAGCAAATGATATTCGAGCGCGCGCACGGGAATGCTCCCGGCGGGAGGATATGTAATAAGCGGGAGAGTCTCAGTGCCTCATGAGAGCCGAAAGATTCACACCAGCGGTGGAACGCAAGCCCCCCCCTTCACAAGGGCAGGCAAACGTAGCCTGGCGGCACTGGTTCTCACGGTCTCCCTATCAATGTTTACGGCAAGCGGCAGAGCAGCGAGCAAGCCAGGATCAGAGAAGGGAACAAGCAAAATATGGCAGGTTTATTTTATAGGAGGTCAAACAACAAGGTGCAGAATAATAACAGTAAGTGGGTGAAAAGAAATAAAATCCCTTACGCGTCTAAATATACTGTCCCTAGCTCACTATCTCAAGTGGCCTTACACTACTCACCTCTCCCTCAGGATGAAGGTTTTCCCCCTGCAGCAGCCTCTCTTCTGGCTCTGCCCTCTGGAAGAAAGAACAGCTCTTCTTGCTGCTCCAGAACTTTTATTCCAAGCCCTCTTCTTTTCCCATTGGTCCATTTTGGCTCCAAAACCTCCCAGGGGCTTCTGGGAATTGTAGGCCCAGCCTCACCTACTGCTAGCCAGGCTCTCTGGGCCTAGTAGGCCTCTGGTAGCACAGCCCAGATCATGACAGTATCTCATGTGTGAAATGTGCATTCTACACTTCATGCATGTGTGAAGTGATCTCTGACTTACAAAAACTGATGGTAGAATTTTTTTTATTCTTTAAAAGGCCACTGGAATCACGTTTTATTCAAATGTTAAGTGAATCAAAATCACAAAATGGAAGTCCAAAAAGTTGTGATTGTTTATAGCCCTCATTAAAGTTTGCTATGCCACAAAGAATTTAGAAGTATAGCCTTTATTAATGAGAATTATTCATACATTAGTATTTGGTTGAAGATGGGAACCAGTTAGAGGACAGGAAATTATTCAGACAAGTAGACATAAGTGCATACATCAGACATTCTTATCTCAAAACATAATCAGTGGACCATTATTTTTCTAAAAAAAACAAATTATGTCTTCACTTTCAGGAAACAAACATTTTCCCACTGGAAGAAATGTAATTTGTGAACTGGTCCTGAAAGAGTTCTACTTATCTCTCAGGAGGACGATATAGTACTAGTTAAGCTTATAAAAATGGGATACACAGAGACCATGTTGGTAGGGAAACAGGAGGATTTATGGGCTTTTTTAACCGAAGCCACATCTACCCTCTGTAGCATCTTGAGTACAGTTCTTAAAAGTTTTCCACATGAAAATTAAAGACCATGGGACTTGCTATTGGTGGTACTGACTACTAGCTTCTAAAATTAATACCCATATGCCTTCAATGGCTGGCTAGCTTCATGAGTATTTATTGTCCTATTTTACCCCAGCAAATTGAACTCATCCTATTTCATTTGACCAAGCAATCATCAATTTCGACTTCTGTTAACTGTATTTGGGGGTAGAGGGGGAAATGATCTCTAGCTGCTATCTGTGCAGTTGATTGCCTACTCAGGCAATTGTCATTTTTCAAACACTGGCCAGTTCTTGCCCCAGTAATTAACTTGTCTACTGGTGCTGCTATTAAGCAGCAGTTCTGCAGAGATACCTTCTTTGCTTTATTAAGCAACTGCTCCATCCCTGCAGTCATCTGAGTTTTCATGGTGCTGTACAGTGGTTATTCTGTAAACCTCAAGTGGTTCTTGTTACACTCAGTTTACTGTAAATCTGTTTACTGCCTTGGTCTGTCTAGCTACATCTGCTGTCTCTCAGGCTTGCAGGTTTGTTTGTTATTTATTTATTGAAAAGATTTTTATGCTGTCTTTCCATGCAACCAGAGTCTACAAGGGAGTGAACATAAAAACATTAAAGCATGTAAACAAAAAATATAGTTAAAATTATAAAATTCAATTAAAATGCATAAACAAGGTTGTTATTGGAGCTATGCCAGTCGCAATAAAGAAATATTCGCCTGCTGGCAAAAGACACTAGTAGAGGGAGACAGACGGATATCCCTGGGCAGGGAATTCCAAAATTTTGGTGCCACGATGGAGTAGGCCCTTCCTCAGGTTGCCACACATCTAGCCTCAGATGACAGGGGCATCCGAAGCAGGGCCTCCATGGATGACCAGAGTATTTGTGCTCTGAACATAAATGTCATTCTCTGCTCAAATAAAGCTGCCATCTGT